GAAGTGTTTATGGCTGCCTTATCCAATATAGTTGATTAATTGTTGTGAAAGGGTTGTAATCTTGTGGCTTCAGAGAAAGTGGTGAAGCCTATATTGGAAAACCTTTCTCAATCAGACATGTTCAGTCTAATTATAGACTTGCTTTTGGCCAAAGAATTTAGAAGGTGAGAAGCAACTGCTTTCTAACAGGTGGACTGTAATGGTTAATTGGTCTTGGAAGTTCGTTTCCTCCCTCCCTCTCTCTCTCTTCCTTCCTTCCTTCCTTTCTTCCTTCCTTCCTTCCTCTCTCTTTCTTGTAATTCATTCCAAGTACGTCAATCAAATATTAGCTTTTAATTATCTACCTGGCACAGGATCCTGTTACTATACGTGGATTAATTTGCTAGATGTGATTAATATGGGTTCTACTTGGTTTGTTAATGGCTAACAATAATATAATATGAATTGAGAAATGTTTATCAGTTTGTGCCATAAGCTTAGTCTTTAAAAAATTGTTTGTATAAATCTTGATTCAGATATCTGCATTGAGTTTTGTCATCAGTATACCAGTGATGATTACTTTAAAAAATTGCTTATTTTCCATTTTTTTGTGAACTACTTCTGTTTGTTAATTATGTGGTTCCTATTTACATATTTATGTATTCAGCAAATAATTTTTAATACCAGTCATGTCCAGTCATATTAAGGGTCTAATAATTTTGTCAAGGAGTTCGTATTGGAGTGATTATGGGCAGTGGACAATTGTTGGAATGGGTTTCTGATAACCTTTGAAAAGCACCTTACTTTACATCTTTCTTGTCAGACCAAAATTTCTGGTTGGCAGTAATAAATTGATGAATGACTGTCAGGTTTTACCAAGAGTGACCAGTTAGTGTCTTACTTTCATCAGAAGGCATGACTTATGACATATGAGTCTATGTATTATTGAGTTTTATATAGAAAACAAATCTGTTGATGAGGAGTTGGGAATATACTCAAGTTAGTTCAGTCTTTGACAGGGTATTTTTCCATAAACATTGGGCTGGCTTTCAGCAGATCTGATTCAGGCTTCACCCCACCCTTACTGAACTAAGTGACCTTGAACAAACTTCTTGACCTCTCTACATCTCAGTTTCCTCATTTATAAAATGAATACAATGGAATGGCTTACCTTTCAAGTCTCTTCTTGTTTAAAAAGTCTATAATTTTATTTAAGGTGAAGGCATTTTCCTGAATCTTCCCTTTCTAGTGATGGTTTTGGGTTTGACATTTTGAAAGAAAATTATCATTGTGGTCAAATTTGGTTTTGACTACTTAGAAGATAGGTTGTAAATTTTTGGCTCTGTATTCTTGAAATAAAAATTTCAGGCCATGTAGGACTATCTGGTTATTCCCGTGTTTTCTTTTGGTAACTGGGCAGCCTTGTGTGTTACAGTGTGGTTGTATGATTACGGTCAGTAACCCTGAAGTAAGCAAAGGGAGGTTGGTTGATCTAGTTTCAGCTGTATCACAGCTGTACAGCTGTATACAGCTATACTGTATCACAGAATAGCATGAAGAAAATTGGAAGGGTATTTTAGAAAATGATTAAATCCAATTTCTCATTTAACAGATAAAAAAAACATGTCCAAAAATGTTTAATTTTTAAGCTGAAATTGTATCAGAAAATAATGTTGATTATAATCTCATTCATTCACTCAATAGATATGTATGTCAACCTATTAATAACCTCCTTTTTGAAGACCAGGTTTTAAATACATTTTTAATATACTTATTATGATGTTAAATAACTCTCTCTCTTTGATGAAGAATGAAACACCTTTTTCACTTTCCAAATATATTTGGCCTTCAAATCCTGTCCACCCTGTCTTCTTTATTCAGCCCTTATTCTTCAAGCTGACATTATATACAAGGCATCATTTGAGATACATATTCAATGGCAAGTGAAATTTCACCTTCCCAAGTTGAACTTGAGATTCCTTTCAGCTATCCATGTAAAAACCTTGATAGGTAATTGGATATATAAATCTGGGGATCAGCCATGGCCAGGTTGGAGATATAAATTAAGGAGTTATACATAGATAATATTTAAGGTAATAAAATTAATTAAGGTTAATTAGAGGTTGAAGAAGTAAAAGAAGAGATCTGATTCCCAGGGAACTTCTACGTTTCAAATTGGGGCAATGAAAAGAAGCCAACAGAACAGACTGAGAAGGAATAGATAGGAAGAGAGCCATGTAAACAAAATATTCCAAGAAGGAAAGGGTGGATTTGGCATGATGATGGCCGAGACAGAGTCTGCAGAGTTTTTGAATCTTCTCAAATTTTTTTGCAAAATTAGACTAAGATAGTTTAAAAAAAAAGTCATAAACACTATATTCAGTAACAAAAAATAGATGACAGTTGTTTAAATGAATTTTAGAGCACAAGCTGATAGAGCAGAACTATTGACAACAATGAGGTATCTGTGTCTCACATCTGTGCTGGAGTAATGGAGCAGAACAGAAGGGGACTTAGGGTGGTCCTGAGTGCTTAGTGATCCAGACATAGATTGCTGCCCTCAACGGAACAATTGCCAACAGAGTAGAAGACTTGGAAGACATATCTGAGACCAGCAGCTGAAACTGGCAGAGTGCTCTGAGCCCTCATTTCTCATAGAAATAAATACCTGGTGAAAGCACCCTTCTTAAAATACAGAGATGGGTGGTAGGGAAATTGTAAGGAGTAGCACAACACACTGAAGGAAGGAGAATGTTGCATCTCCATAATAGCTAATGATGTTGGGCATTTGTGTCTTTAGAAAAATATTTAAGTTCGTTGCCCATTTTAAAATTTGACTTTTTGTTGCTGAGTTATGAGACTTGCTTATATATATTCTGGTTACTAGACCTTTATCAAATATATTATTTGCAAATATTGAGTGGGTTCCCTTTTTGCCTTCTTGTTCGTGTCCTTTAATTCACAAAAGTTTTAGGTTTTGGAGAAATCTAATTCATGTTTTTTTTTATTTGCTTGTGCTTCTGGTGTCTATCATATTTTCAGAAACCGTTGCCTAATCCAAGATTACAAAGATATGCACTTATTTTTCCTTCAAGAGTTTAATAATTTTGGCTCTTATATTCAGGTATTTAATCCATTTTTGCTTACTTTTTATATATCATGCAAGGTGGGTTTCCAGATTTATTCTTTTGTATGTGGATTCAGTTGTCCCACCATCATTTGTTGATAAGATTATTTCTTTGCTATTGAATTGTCTTGTCACTTTGTCAAAAATCAATTGATTATGGACAGATAGGCTTATTTTGGAACTCATTTCTATTTTCCATTGAACTCAATCTCTTATGCCAGTACCACAATACTGGTACTGCACCTTTGGTTACTGCACCTTTGTGCTAAGTTTTGAAATTAGAAAATACCAATCTTGCAACTTTGATCATCTTTTGCAAAATTGTTTTAGCTATTCATAATCCCTTGCAATTCTTACCTTTTTTTTTTCCATAAAATATGGGCTGGGCATGGAGCCCAATGTGGGGCTTGAACTGGAACTTAGGACCCTGAGGTCAAGACCTGAGCTGAGGTCAAGAGTCGGTTGCTTAACCAACTGAACCACCCAGGCAGCCCATCCCTTGCAATTCTATGTGAATTTTAGCATCAGCTTGTCTGTTTCTGCAAAATAAAGCCACTAAAATCTCGATACAGAGTATACTGAATCTATAGATAAATTTGGGGATTAGTCATATTAAGTCTTCCATTCCATTAACACAGGATATCTTTCCATTTATTAAGATTCTATAATATTTTACAGTTTTTAGTGTAAAAGTTTTATATTTCTCTGGTAAAATTTATTCTAAGTAGTTTTTTTCATGCTATTTTAAGTGGAATTTTTTTCTTGATTTCATGTTTGGATTGTTCATTGCAAGTATGTAGAAATACACATGATTTTTGTGTGTTGACCTTGTATCTTACAACTTTGCTGAACTTGTTTATTAGGTCTAATAATGTATTGCTTATTGGATCTAATAATTCTGTAGTTTCCAGTATATATAAAATCACATCTTCTGCAAATAGGGATAGTTTCACTTCATTTATAATCTAGTAATTTCTTAGTTTGCCTTTAGTTTATTTTTCTTGCCTAATGCCTTTGCTAGGCCTTCAGTACAGTGTTAAATAGAAGTGTCTGGAGTGTACATCCTTGTCTTGTTTCTGATGTTAAAGTTTTAGTCTCTTGCAAAAATTATGATGTTAGCACAGATGCCCCTTATCAGGCTGAAGATGTTACTTTCTGTTTTTAGTTTGTTGAGTATTTTTATCAGGAAAGTATGTTTGATCTTGTCGTTGTTTCTCTGCATCATGTGGGTTTATTCTTTTCCTTTTTCATTTTAAAATGGTGTATTAAATGGATTGCTGTTGTATGTTGAACCACCTTGAGATAAATTCCACTTGGTCCTTAGTGCATAATCCTTTTAAAATGCTCTTAGATTCTGTTTACTATTTTATTGAAGAGTGTTACATCTATATTTATAGGACTCATTGCTCTGTACTTTTCTTATATTGTCTTTATCTGGCTTTGGACACTGGTTACTCAATCTTTTATGTTACCAGACTGAGGATAACTGTTATATTTTAATCATCTTTTTATCCCCAGAGCCTAGCAGTCTGGCACATAGTAATAGTGTAAATTAAAAAATATACAGAGGCCCAAGCTTACTGAAGTAACACAGTCCCTCCTGGCTCTTGATCCAGGTGCAGATTTGCCATATGCCCCAAGAGGTAACACCATTGTTTTGTGTTATCTCACCTCTCAGTATGGTTTTCCTTGCAGTTATTGTTTTCCTGTCTTTTTTCATTGCTTCAGTCCTCCCTAATGCTTTTAAACAGAACTTTATTTTTTCTCATTGTTTTTAGCTGCAGCATTAGTGTTCCACAAACCACTCAATCATTCATGGATACAAGAGTCAGTGGTTTTATTTTGTAAACAAAAGAACAAACCATGGCTTAAGTTTTTTGTTTTTGTTTTTCAGGAAAAACATAAACAAGAATTGGAAGACATGAGGAAAGCTGGTCATGAAGCTCTCAGCATTATTGTGGATGAATATAAGGTAGAGGTTTGGGAGTCTGCTTTCTCTATTAAACTGTGGCATACTTTAGAAAAATGTTTACACACATTGGCATATGCAAACATATGAAAATTATAGAATGACAGTAGTCTTATTTTAGTATAGAATTCTTTTCAATTGACCGATAAGTGTTTGTTGAAAACATACTTAGTAGATTACAAAGGTAATGCTAGATGTTGCTCTGCTTTGGAGAAGTTGTAGAATGTTTAATAATACAGAATCTGCAGCTGAAGAAGTTCAAGAACAAAATTCTATAGAATTAATTACTAGATTAGGTTTTATCTCTACTGCGGTTCTACCTCTTTTAAGGAAAAAAAAGGCATGATATACGCATCTGAAAAATATTGTGGGTAAAGGGTAAGGTTAAGAAAAAAAATTTGTTATGAATATTGTTATATAAATCATGATAAATGTCAATATGAGGGACATACACAGCATTATTCTCTGATTCTGTGCCTGCATAAGCTTAATCATTTAAAGCAAACTGAGGACTGGTATGTTGCAAGCTTTCAAGATAGCCTTAATTTTAAAAAGTTGGTCTGTTAGTTGTATCTGATGGATGTAATTTTGCTTTCTAGTTCACTTTGTGTTGAGAGCCAATACTGTGAACCTAACTTTCCCTTATTGGTGGGTAATAACTGAAGATAAAGATTTTATTTTCATGCTCAAAAAAAAAGTCCTTTTCCCCCCTGAATTTCGTGTTAGATCATTTTTCCCCCACAAATAATAGAGGAATACATTCTTGTTGAAATTAAATTCAAACAGTTCTCCCCAGAAGTAACCATTAGCAGTTTGATGTGAGCCCTTCTATAGGATTTTCTCCATATTTGCGTACGTATATATGCTAATACCATATTGTATAATTTTTTGATTTGTATTTAAAGAAAATGTTATTCCACTCAATCTATTCTTTCCTTTCTGTATTTATTCAATATGACTTGTATTTTATTTATTTATTTAAGATTTTATTTATTTGACAGAGACATAGCAAGAGAGGGAACACAAGCAGGGGAGTGGGAGGGGGAGAAACAGGCTTCTCGCTGAGCAGGGAGCCCGATGCGGGGCTCGATCCCAGGACCCTGGGATCATGACCTGAGCCGAAGGCAGACGCTTAACGACTGAGCCACCCAGGCGCCCCGACTTGTATTTTAGTATCAGTGTGTATGAACTTATTTTTTGTTCTATAGTATTCCACAGTATATATATGTATGTGTGTGTACATACATATATGCATACATACACACACACACACACACACCATAATTGGTTTAACGGTACCTGTATAGTTAAGCATTTAGTTTGTTTTTGGTTGTTCATTACTACGGTAATTTTTTTTTTTTTTTAAATCCTTCTACCACATGTAGAATACAAAAATTTCTTATTGTTGATTAAACGTCATCCTTCGACTTGGTAGAAATTAATGTCATTTTAGTTAGCTTAATAATTTAATGTCAAAAAGCTTTTTGTGACGAGTCATTTGGATAAAAGTAGAAAAAGAAGTGGATCCAGAATTAATTTAACAAAAAGTATTTCTTTATTTTTTTTTAAACCCAAGGTAAATAGTCTAGTAGATACGTGTTGGAACATGTAAGGTCATTTTTGTGACCACACCCAAAATAGAAACCTGTGCCATTGTTGAGATGGTCATTGAAAAAATATCAAGTTTTTGCAGCTGTGTTTATTGGCTCTTTTTATAATATTGTGAATTTTTAGCTCTACTAATATAAGCCAGCTTTACAGTTATTGAATTGGGTAAAAGTATAGGATCTATTTTGAACTATCATCTTTTTTTCCCCCTAGGCTAAGGGTGGGAAGAATTAAAAAGCTGGAATTTATATAATTCTCCTGGTGCATTAAGTGATATATTCTTCGGTAAATTTGTATTTTACTTATTTTTATTTATGCCTTATAAATTAAATGTTTTAAAAGCATTTACACTGTGTTTGAACTTGTATTTTTCTGAACAGCTCAATGTTTGATATTTTAAATCCTTTTTTGATTCTAGCTCCACATATTTCATTTGCTGAAAACATGTTTATCGTGTATTGCTTTCAATACTGACAGTTAATGTGTTTAAAAGCATGTGAGAATTTTGCAAATACATTTTACAAATTGTAATATGGAGAAACTTGGTTGAGAGCTACTCATTTCACCTCTTCTTTGTCTAGTATCATTATTTGATGTCCATTTGGAGAGGATTTAAAAGTTTCAAGCATTAGGTATTATGATTTGCTTAAGAGGATTAGGAATCAAGTCAAGTAGCCTACGAAGTTATATTTAATTTGTCATATACTTATTGTCAGTTTATATATAAACTTAGATAAACTTTTATAGCAGGGAACTTTGGTGTAAATACATTTCATATAGCTTTCCATATTGATTTATTGATGAGCTTCATATTTTGTACAATGATGTTATTGTACTGTGAGAAGGAATAAGATCTGATACTTTAATTATCATATAACATTTTACAATGAATGTGTTCTGAAAACACATGGAGAATCAACTTCAAAGTAATATAGGAAGAAATAAAGTAATTCAGATAGGAAAAATAGGCAATGTTTTTCTCATAGGTTAGATGTCTTTATAATCTAAGTGTTGATTTGTGACCATTATGGAACAGGAAAAGAAACAATATTTTTTTTTTCCATTTGAAATTCAAGCATGAGAAGGTCATGTGATAATTATTGTATTATGTCTCTTTTAGACAGTAACTTACTTTTTGTTGATACCTTTTAAAGCTTCATTTTGTTAAAGTATATAAACATTTTGATGGATGATTCATTGATCATTAGATAACTCAAAAACAAATGAAAATACAACTTCTAGTTACCATTACTAAGAGAAGTTGTATGAACATTCTCTTTGATTTATTCTTTCTTTAATTCAAGAAACACTGACTTCCTTCTTTATGCCAGGGACTGTTGTGGATACAGCACTGAAGAAGATAGACAGATCTTTGGTCCAATGGAATATATATTACACACCCACCCATGCACATGCACAGACCATATATAGGTAGTATATAGTCACCGAAAACCATAGCTTCCCTTGATGCTTTGACTTTAACCTTTCCTTGCTATGCAGGTATTTACTCAAATATGCAGCTGGACTAGAGAAATCTGTACCTTTTTACTACCATCCCTGGCTTTTAGGGATCTTATATTCTTCTGCTTGGTTATCCTTGACTACATGTGATAAGTCATTTTTCTCCCTCCAAGTTGAGTTGAGACATTGTTGAAGAATTTGAAAAAAAAAATCATTAGGAAAGATAGTGAAAAATATAAATGAAGTAAAACAAAAATGATAAAAGCCTAAAAATTAATGTAGAGGAAGATGCATTACTTTTACATTAACCTTTCCTTTCAGAAATGTGAAGTAGACTTTCCCCCCCTGTTTTTCCTACTACTATACAGCGAAAAAAATCCTTGGACCTTATGTATAAAACAGACAAAATCCTGAAAGACAGAAGAAGACAGACTGCCTAGGGACTCTGGGATCCAGGTAACTACATGACACTGGGTTCCCTGGATTTTCTTTTTTCCCTCATTTGCCCAGATTAGGTGCTGGAGAAGTGAGCAAGCCAGAAATACCAAATGGGCACAGATAGCAAATCTCAAGAAAAGGCTACTGTCTCTGTCCAAAAGACCAGGGAAGCCTCCGGGTAGCAAGACAGTAAACTCTTAGATAATAACCATTCCACTCCCACCAAATACCATAGAACTAAATGTGGCCCCACCCTCCAGCCCTGCCAACAAAGACTTGGTAAGGATTGTAGACTTTCACGAAACCTCCCCAGGCTATAGTGAGATAGCTTTCCTCTTCTGCATTGGGAGGTTTCAAAGAAGGCTGACTGGGAATCGTTGACTTTCAGCCCCACTGGGCAGTAAATCTCCTCCTCCCTAAGTGTCAGGGTAGGCCATGTAGGAAGCCTAGACTTCCACCCCACCCTGACACTTCCTCTGCTATCAAGGTATCAACAATGTTTAATGGAAAGTCAGGGCTTTCATTATTGCTCAGTGGTAATAAGGTCAGCCCTCTGAAGTGTCAGTGAAGGTTATTTGGGGAACAATAAGGTGGCACCCTTGCTTCTCTCAGCCAGAGTGACATCATTGAAAGCTTTGTGTGAAGCTGAACTCCCAACCATGTCCAGCAATAATGAGGAGATTCTTCTTCCCCCTGCCCTGAGTATAGTGGAGAATGAATCAGGAACCTGGACTTAGTACCTGGCTGTTCCCCTCTTGGAGTAGTGTCTTATCAGAGGAAGTCTGCCTAAAGCAAGATTGAAAATATCCAAATTTCAATTGAAAATAGTTCTCATACAAAGAACCAGGAAAATCTCATCTTGAGTGAAAAAAATAAGGAACAGAAGCTAACACTGAGCTGACACCAATGTTAGAATTATGTGACAAGGATTTTAAAGTGTCCCTCATAAAAATTCTTTAATAAGCAATTATGAACATGCTTTGAAGCAAATGAAAAAAATAGAAAGTCCCAGCAAGAGAATAGAAAGTCTTAGCAAAGAAATAGATTATATAAAGAAAGAACCAAATGAAAATTTTAGAACTTAAAAATACAATACAAAAAGAAAATTTAGCATATGGGCTCAGTGTCATAATGGAGAAATGGGAAATAATCTATGAACTTGAAAATAGAGAATAGAAGTCACCCAGTTTGAACAGTAGAGAGAAAATAGACTAAAAACAAATGAGCAAGGATTTAGGGACCTGTGGGATTATAACAAAAGATCTAAAATTCATGTCATCAGAGTCCTGGAAAAAGAGGAGAAAGTGGACAGAGCTGAAAAATATATTCAAAGAAATACTAGCTGAAAATTTCCCAAATTTGGCCAAAGAAATAAAACTATATATTCAAGAAGCTGAATGAACTCTTAAACAGGATTAACCAAAATAATAATAATACCAAAATCAAATAAAAACCACCAAGACCCACTGTGATGGTTAATTTTATGTGTTAACTTG